AGACCCTCAGCAGTGTCTCAACTATATCATATACACTAATCGGATTACAATTCCGGAATCAAGTATCACGGCTGGAGTATCGGTAATTCTGTTTGATGATCTGGAGCCGAGTCATAGACCCTCATCAGTGTCTCAACTATATCATATACACTTATCGGGTTGCAATTCCGGAGTCCAGTATCACTGGTAGAGTATCAATAACTGTGTTTGATAGTCTGGAGCCGAGTCATAGACCCTCAGCAGTGTCTCAACCATATCATACACACTAATCGGGTTGCAATTCCGGAATCAAGTATCACTGCAAGAGTATCGGTAATTGTGTTTCGTGATCTGGAGCCGAGTCATAGACCCTCAGCAGTGTCTCAACTATATCATATACACTTATCGGGTTGCAATTCCGGAATCCAGTATCACTGCTAGAGTATCGGTAATTGTGTTTGGTGATCTGGAGCCGAGTCATAGACCCTCAGCAGTGTCTCAACTATATCATATACACTTATCGGGTTGCAATTCGGGAGTCAAGTATCACTGCTAGAGTTTCGGTAATTGTGTTTGATGATCTGAAGCCGAGTCATAGATCTTCAGCAGTACCTCAACTATATCATATACACAAATCGGGTTGCAACTCCGGAATCAAGCATCACTTGTAGAGTATCGGTAATTGTGTTTGGTGATCTGGAGCCGAGTCATACACCCTCAGCAGTGTCTCAACTATATCATATACACTTATCGGGTTGCAGTTCCGGAATCCAGTATCACTGCTAGAGTATCGGTAATTGTGTTTGATAGTCTGGAGCCGAGTCATAGACCCTCAGCAGTGTCTCAACTATATCATACACACTTATCGGGTTGCAATTCCGGAATCCAGGATCACTGCTAGAGTATCGGTAATTGTGTTTGATAGTCTGGAGCCGAGTCATAGACCCTCAGAAGTGTCTCAACTATATCATACACACTAATCGGGTTGCAATTCCGGAATCAAGTATTACTGCTAGAGTATCGGTAATTGTGTTTGGTGATCTGGAGCCGAGTCATAGACCCTCAGCAGTGTCTTAACTATATCATATACACTAATCGAGTTGCAATTCCGGAATCAAGTATCACTGCAAGAGTATCGGTAATTGTGTTTCGTGATCTGGAGCCGAGTCATAGACCCTCAGCAGTGTCTCAACTATATCATATACGCTAATCGGGTTGCAATTCCGGAATCAAGTATTACTGCTAGAGTATCGGTAATTGTGTTTGGTGATCTGGAGCCGAGTCATAGACCCTCAGCAGTGCCTCAACTATATCATATACATTTATGGGGTTGCAATTCCGGAATCAAGTATCACTGCTAGAGTATCGGTAATTGTGTTTGATAGTCTGGAGCCGAGTCATAGACCGTCAGCAGTGTCTCAACTATATCATATACACTAATCGGGTTGCAATTCCGGAATCAAGTATCACTGTTAGAGTATCGGTAATTGTGTTTGGTGATCTCTAGCCGAGTCATAGACCCTCAGCAGTGTCTCAACTATATCATATACACTTATCGGGTTGCAATTCGGGAATCAAGTATAACTGCTAGAGTATCGGTAATTGTGTTTGGTGATCTGGAGCCGAGTCATAGACCCTCAGCAGTGTCTCAACTATATCATATACACTTATGGGGTTGCAATTCCGGAATCAAGTATCACTGCTAGAGTATCGGTAATTGTGTTTGATAGTCTGAAGCCGAGTTATAGACCCTCAGCAGTGTCTTAACTATATCATATACACTTATCGGGTTGCAATTCGGGAATCAAGCATCACTGCTAGAGTATCGGTAATTGTGTTTGATGATCTGAAGCCGAGTCATAGATCTTCAGCAGTACCTCAACTATATCATATACACAAATCGGGTTAACCAGATAAGTGTATATGCTGCACTTGAGCCAGTGCGGTGGATCTATTATTCGGATTCAAATTATTCAACACAGTTACCAATAATCCACAAGTGATACTAAGCTCCGGAACTGTCACCAGATGAGTGTATATGCGGTATTTGAGACACTAAGTTGGTTTTATGATTCGGATTCAGGTTATCACAAACAATTACCGATATTCTACGGGTGATACTAGATTCCGGAATTGCAACCAGATAAATGTATATGCTATAGTTGAGACACTGCGGTGGATGTATAACTCGGCTTTAGATGACCAAACACAATTACTGATACTGTACAAGTGATACTTGGTTCCGGAGCTGTAACCAAATGAGAGTATATGCTGCACTTGAGCCAGTGCGGTAATTGTGTTTGGTGATCTGGAGCCGAGTCATAGACCCTCAGCAGTGCCTCAACTATATCATATACATTTATGGGGTTGCAATTCCGGAATCAAGTATCACTGCTAGAGTATCGGTAATTGTGTTTGATAGTCTGGAGCCGAGTCATAGACCGTCAGCAGTGTCTCAACTGTATCATATACACTAATCGGGTTGCAATTCCGGAATCAAGTATCACTGTTAGAGTATCGGTAATTGTGTTTGGTGATCTCTAGCCGAGTCATAGACCCTCAGCAGTGTCTCAACTATATCATATACACTTATCGGGTTGCAATTCGGGAATCAAGTATAACTGCTAGAGTATCGGTAATTGTGTTTGGTGATCTGGAGCCGAGTCATAGACCCTCAGCAGTGTCTCAACTATATCATATACACTTATGGGGTTGCAATTCCGGAATCAAGTATCACTGCTAGAGTATCGGTAATTGTGTTTGATAGTCTGAAGCCGAGTCATAGACCCTCAGCAGTGTCTTAACTATATCATATACACTTATCGGGTTGCAATTCGGGAATCAAGCATCACTGCTAGAGTATCGGTAATTGTGTTTGATGATCTGAAGCCGAGTCATAGATCTTCAGCAGTACCTCAACTATATCATATACACAAATCGGGTTAACCAGATAAGTGTATATGCTGCACTTGAGCCAGTGCGGTAATTAGGTTTGGTGATCTGGAGCCGAGTCATAGACCCTCAGCAGTGTCTCAACTATATCATATACACTTATCGGGTTGCAATTCCGCGTGTGTGGACATTCAACCCGGA